CGACGCGTTGTATCGTGTATGTACGGGTACTGTAACGATTTCCGGCCCCAGCTCGAGGATGGATTAGCGCGGCGGTGGGGTGTAGGTACCGGTACTTTCATCTGGCAATAGGTACCTGTACTTGAGCACAGAATCTGAAAATACGGCTAAGGTTGCACGGCCACTCAGTCAGCGAAAGAAAAAACCCTGCTCATTTTCAGATACCCAGTGCGATACCGGTATACAAGTGCTCGAGTACTACTCGCACAATGCGGTAGCCCGGGGAGGTTATTTTTAGGAGTTGGAGGTCTCGTGTTGCGGTTGGTTAGGTTGTATGATATTATGGGGTGGAGTAGTGTAGTACCGGTATCCGCGCTAGTATACAAGTAGTGGTTGGCGGAGGCAAGATTTTGACAAGATTGGATAGACGTCCGGGAGGCTCGGCTCCTGTGTGGATGGTGGGTATCGGCTTGCTGGGGCGCTGTACTAGTGCAAGTATTTACAGTGTGAGAGTAGCACGGGTACTGGAGGTTGGGATGGTGCTGTAAAGTAGACATGATGGAGATGGATGGTTGAGTGAGTGAGCTGGTACAGTACTAGTATAGCAGTAGAATGAGAGCACTCTCACAAAACCATAATACAACACGGCAACGTTTCCCCACTCGGTCCAATTACCCACGGGCATTAGGCCGGACCATATCACCGTACCGTACTGTGCAACAGAATTGCCCATTCGTTCAGCTTCATGACAACAGCGCCAACCATGATGAAAGCACAACCTTTCTCCCCAAAAAGCTCAAATCTAGCAGGGACAGCACCGATACCCCCTCAATATCCTGGCGCCATCGACCTCCTACCTGTCCATTTAAGATTCTCTGGCGCAATTGATACTCTTATTGTAGCGCCTGTAGAGTTGTGGTGCTCCGCTCTCCGCAACACCGCAACCCTACCCCACAGGCAATCACTCGGGCGCACGCACCCAACCCACACCTGCGGCGGGAGGGGCTTCCTGAGCTTCGGCAATACATGTAGTAGGAAAGTTAATATTTCTATGTCTGGAGTACTAGTACAGGAGGGGGGGTGTCTGGACGGGAATCTGTCCGCAGATCGATCGATCTAGTGATTGATACAGGCCGAGAAAGCACACGGGAGCTGAAAGTATGGGTAAGGAGGAGAGAGGGGAATACAGGGGATGGCCAGGAAACCACAAACCGGGCAGGGGGAATGGAGTACATACCCTGTACGTGTACAGTACCGTACAGGACAGTACACCGAGAGAGCTGAGAGACGATAAACATCTACACGACGTTAGTGATCACCCGTAAACAAACCAAGGGAAACAGGGTGCGAGTGATTGCACATGCGATCCTAAAAGCTTGGGTCCAGATGGAGGCTATAGTAGCCTTGCGAGTTGCGAGCTGTTCAAGCCGGGGTTCCGGCTTGTGTGACCGGTGCCGTATTTCCTGAGCAGCACCTGTCAATGCGATGCGCAAAGCCCCCTCCCCATCCAATCCCATTTTTTTCCTTATTCTATTATTCAATCTATTCTCAATCCTCAATCCACCCACAGTATGTTTTCGAGTAGGGTTACATATGCCATCTCTTGGACCCATCCACTCAATCCCGCTCCTATCATATCATACCAATTTTACACATCTGCGAACAGGGCCCCACTCACTCTCGGCCAGCTAAATTAATAACCCGCGAGTGCAGACGAGCTCACTTCATCTCTCCCAATGCGATCCCGACCAATATAATTCCATCCGCCGAGGGTCGTCACATCCGGGTTGGTGTGGTTACAAATACCATAAAAAAAACTCGAACAGAAGATAGCGGTCAATACGCCAGGACGTTGGAATTCCCCTTCTCGGCCAGTGTGGGGGGGGGGGGGGGAAAACACCCCAAATTCAGCTCTTGGTTGGGACAAGGGGGGGGGGATATATACAGCGCCTTACTACTCGTATGAGGGGCAGCCGCGACGTTCGGGCACATTTATCTTCTGTCCAATTTTTACAATACCTGGTTCTCCACACTGAATATTTGCGTTGCAGCTGCGCCGCACTCGATAGGGTAGTACAGTACAAGTACCGGTATTGTCGGTCGAGGCTCGTGATTGGTGGATGTGCGGGGAAACTAACGGCCGCTGGGAAATATCATACTGTAGGTAGAGAATGACGATGGGTGGATGGAATTTGTGCGCGCAGGGGTTTGGCTTCGTGGCACAGTGCCGGGTTAAATGCAGTGATACAACTCTCGTAAGTGTCGAAGCTTTTTTAAAAAAGTACGAGTATTTGCCCTTGCATGCCACCCAGATCTGAGTAAAGAGACCAAATTTAGTTGGCACGAGATACTTGTACTGAACAGTAGCAGTCTTTTTTTTTTTAAAAAAAAAGATCTGAAGTTTGGAGCACCGTTCCAGGTCTGAGTGGGGATGTGCGTGAGGCCTGGGGTGGGGAGCCGAGAGGTTGGAGATGGAGGCAATCTAGATACGGTATTCCTATCGTAGGCTGCGATGAGGGAAGAGAAGGTAAACGGCCTGTGGAGTGGGGTGGAGTGGGATGGAGTGCATTGTGGTTTGTCGGGGTCGGTGATGGTGCTTGTGCAATACTCGAGTAGAGTACAGGACTCTCAGTACAGTAAATTTATAATTTAGTAGTAGAATTGTAGCGGTAGCATGGTCTCCCATCATACAGGGGAGAAGTATTTCTGGATTTCAGGGCACGATAGATTGGATTTGGTAGGGTGTGATAAGATAGGGGTGCATATAAAGTACTTTACAAGTAGAGCGTAGCTGACTAGTAGTAGATACTAGTTATGGTATCATATGTGAGGTGTGGCCTTTGTGCTGAGATGATTTGGGGAGTGAATAGAGTTCCCTCGCGCCATCTTACCATACAATATCTGATCTCTATGAGAAGGTAGATTTAATTACCCCAAGAAGTGATTGCTCCTGTGAGAGGGAAAGAGAAGAAAAGGGGGAAAAGGAAGGGGGGAAAAGGCACACCTTGCTCAGGATTCCGGTTGGCATCCTTGTCGACTAATCTGCTGGTATTACGGTATATTTCGAAATCAACCGGCGGGCGAAATAATCCTGAAAAGACTTCCCCGTACAGTACCACGCAGCTCTCACCGAAGAAAATTTTGTTTTCTTGCCCCCCTTCCCGGATCTCTCGGTTTGAAATTCTTCCACTCACCCAAAGTTATGATACTTGAGCAGATATCGGTACCGGTACCTCAACTCCTCAACTGGGCCCGGCGCGTCCCGTGCTGGTAGGAGGTTGCTGACATTTTCGGTAAGAACCTTAAGTCGGGTATTTATCGCACCAGTTTCAACGGCGTGGGTCGTAATTGATTGGATGGACTGAGTATAATAGTTGTTCTTGTGGGTATTAATAGCCTTGCGTTCAACTGGAGTACGGTATCGTTATCAGGTTTCTGCACCTCGCTCTGTGCCCGATGGCTTGGCCCTTTGGCTTGGTGCCTCTGTAGGACCTGCTGGCACTTTCATTATGATGAAGATTAAAATTTGGCACCATGACAGGCGCCACCCGATCAGATGTTTCGCCTCTCGTATTATACGGTAGCTCTCAGATATCGGCGCCTTACTTGAGTACTGTACACAAGACTTAAATTTGTGTAATACCCTAGGTAGCACTCTTGGCTTCTCAGGCTGCTGGGTCTGGGACTTTCCTTGATTGAGGAATTCCTTCTCACAGCGCTACTTTTCGAGCTCTGAATGGGCTCAGAGGTTCCTGGAGAGTAGTAACATCCTTACTACTGGTATGCGGATATTAAACGGGGAATGGGGAAAAGGAAAGTATGAGATAAGATTCAAAGCTGGAGAGAGATTCAAAGTTGCTTTTGTGTTGCACGGAGGTGGGGATGTTATTGCCCGCGGCTTACTGAGGGGTCGGGAATAGTTTAGGGGGCATCATTCATTAGGTGTGGTATTACGGTAGGCTTAATCTGGGAATGCTGACATTCGACAAATGAGTCGTAGTTCAGCGAAGGCTGTGTAGGCTCCGCATGCCTAGATCAATACCGGTGGAGTAAATCCATTGAAGTGCTACCGTGCCAGCTGGATACTCGGGACACCAAACACACCAGCACAAGGAGTATCCGAAAATAGGGTGGTGGTTTGTTATGGCAGATGTGCACCGATTTTGTCACATATTATTCGAATCCTTGTTCTCCTTTTGCTCCTTGCCTGCGACCAGCACTGAGTGAGCACTGCTCATATCACGCGTATCACACGTGCTGCCATGTTTTCTTCCTCTCTGAAATTCAAATGAACCTCTGGAGCGCGATCGAGTAATCGCCATTTTCTACCGGCCGGATATAGCGGTATCTTCTTCAGTTGGCGAAGATTTTTTCCCAGCAATTCCGTTCATATTTGAATTTTTCTATCTCAGTTCATAAATATAGAACATCACCAGATAGCCTTGAGACTACTTGACTTACTAGTATTTAGCTCTGGTTGAGGGAAACATCCAACAAGAGACCTTGTATCACAAGAAGTTTATCGTTGCTGCTGTTTAGGGTAGGGGATCAATTTCCAGTCATGGCGCAAATTACCGGATACGATGTATGTAGTCTGGGCACAACAAACCGCAGTAAGATAATTTCTCACCGCCACTACAGCACTTTCTAACAATGATAGGTGGTCCAATCCCGCAGGGCGATGCGGTATCGTAGCAGATGTCTTAGACAGTCCGCTCGAATCGATTTTCTAATACAGTAAGAGCTGGGATAATTTGAACCTCACCCGCGGACGTTACTTGTAGAGTTGACTCTCCTCGTGGGGTCTAGCATTTTTATTTTTATTTGTCTCAACAAAGAGCTGAGAGCGAGTTTTTTCCGGGGTGATTCTCCCCTTTTGTCCCAAGAGGGAATTCTAGACGTCTTAGCGTGAGGTTCAATTATTTTGGATCCTGGGGTAAGTGATGGGTGAACTGGATCAAGTATAAATATCCACCTCGTCCCTTCTGGAAAACCGCCATCCACCCGATCGCGGTGCCAAGCAATCAGCAGCCATCAGTCGACCATGAAGATTCAATCCATTGCAATTTTTGTCGCTGCCGTCTTCACGGGGTTCGCTTTTGCCTCTCCGGTCCCCGGGGCAGAACCTGCTCCAGCAGTTGACAGCGTGCCTTGTGGATGCACTAATGATTGCATTATTGCCTGTGCGGGCAGGCCAAACTGCAATTGCCCCCAATTTTGCGGTATATCCCTTTCCTCTTTCCAATATTGCTGGCGTGGTTTGACTGACCGAGGAATAGACCCGAAATATGCTTGCCCCACGACAACGACCGCGAAACCGACAACGACAACGTCTCCAACCCCGACTTTCCCGCCGGGAACTACGTGTGGATGCCATAACTCTTGCACACTCTTTGGATGCGGACCGGATATTCCAAGGGATCAATGCGTTTGCCCCCAATTTTGCGGTTCGTGTCATCATAACGCCCCACCCCCTAGTGATAGAATCTAATCTCATAAAGACCCCATTTATGAATGCCCCCCTACGCCCACCACCACTGCCCCACCAAGGCCAACCTTCACGTGCGGCTGCACGAATGATTGCAAGATTGCTTGCGGTGGAAGGCCAGGGTGTATTTGCCCTCAGTTCTGTGGTAAGCAGTCCTCTCGATCGTGAGCGATGATGAGGAGTCCTAATTTCCATTTTGCATAGATCCGAAGTATGAGTGCAAGACGACCACCTGAGCTGGATGGAATTAGTTCTTTGTGATTTTTATTTTTATTTTTATATTTAGAAATGTACGGTGTAAATCTGATCAGTTTACTGGCCGTTAAAATTTGATGCTCTAATCAAGGCTGAGGTACCTCATAGCCAAGTACTCGTATGATTACATGTTTAGTATACAGTACGCACCTCCCGTGCTCAACCACCTTTCCTATTTAGCCTATCAAGAACCTTTCCTAGATGTATAGTAGACCTTACCCTTCTGGTCGCTGGCTACTCAGTTGCAATAGCCGCCAAGGTATTAGATAGGCGCAACGATAGAAAGTAGCGCAGACAAAAGTATGATACGAAGGAAGGCTGAGGAAAGACCAAACGGAGATGAAGGATCGGGAAGCAATCGCCCCATAGGGGGATCTCCCCCCCCCCTGTATTTCTACCCAGGAAATGGAAGATGAGGCCTATCTCGTAATTCCTAGTCTGAGTTTACCATCGCTAGAATTACACAAACAAATCTCCCTGTGACTCCGCGATCGATATACCACAGTCACCTCTCCTCAAAGGTCTACTGAACTATCAGACTCCACCGCCTATCCCGCGGAAATTTCCCTCAACCAGAGTGGCAGACACGCGGAGCACTTCTTTTGATTCAAAGTTTACGGCAGCAGCGTCAGTCGGCTGGCGGTTTTGGTTTTTTTTCGCCCAAGTGTACATTTTTGGAGAGGTTCGAGATCGCGAGATTTGCATTCGCTGTTGGGGTTGGTCTTTTATCCGTTTTAGGAACGGCGATATGGTCTGCTTTGTCTCCGTCGTTGGGATCATTCTTGGAGATGAACATAATCGCTGGGAATAGAGCTGCAAAACCGATGAAACTTAGCTCCCGGGGGGTAGCATTTCCGGAGGTCAAGCGAAAGGCGATTAGAATATACTAAGTGACTTTTCTATATTAACTTCCGAATGAATGCCAGGAGGAGAATGGTGCTCCCCTCACACATCTTCTTTAAAGATTACAATCTTGGTAAATTTGCTACTCGTAATCATAGTCCCTCACTCGCAACACCTATCCTGATGGAGGGGAGAGTGGTGCGTCAACCTGCAACTCGTAATCTAGACCAGTAGGGGGAAACACAAACAAGGTTAGTTTCGTGTCAGGACTTTAGAAGGGTACTGGAATAGGGAATCTGGGGACCAATAACTGTCTGTTTAATGATATCTGGCAATTACGTTGGCATAGTAGTATAAGTTATGTACCTCCAAGAAAACACATCGCGCATCAATCGAATTCTGGGGTATTTAATTCAAAAGGGCTAGCAGCGATGGAGCCAACTTCCTTTCCTAAAGGGTTTCAATGTCTTTTCACACCTTTCTTTCTTTATTTCATTCGAGCACCCTCACTGAACATATAAGCCAACAAATACACAGCCACGAGAAAAATATTCTCTTCCCATCATAGTGTTTTCCCCTGCACTTTTCGACCATAGCAAATCTAGCAACAGGGACGACATCCTGGAGACAGCAAACGTAAAGAGTATTGTGGGCCAAAACATGCCTCGTTCGAACCGGCAGCCTCGAGCCAGCTTCTCCACGACTGCGTTTCCATGGGAGGACTGGGGCTGCGAATTTCTCCTCACGAAGAAACATCGCCACGGCAGCAGCACCGTCTCCAATGCGCTCACCCTGCACTGGGGAAAAGTGCCGGTTCAGGTGCAATTCTGCGACCAGGGCGCTGCCCAGACCCCCTGGGAGATCATAGTGAGCAATCAGGATGCTTTCGCTGATTCCACGCTTCACGCGTTTCAGCGTTCACGATACCCGGAGATGGATTTTGTGAAATGGCTGGTGGGACCCCAATGAGATTTGCTAGAGGGTGATTTGTCCGGTTTGTGGGGGTTGAGGATATTTTTCTTGAATAATGGGGTTTGTCGGAACGGGTAGGAGTTGGGTTTCTGGAGCATAGACTTGCTTTGGATTTCCTAGATGAGAGGCTTGTCATTGGGGGTGCGGGGGGGTGCGGGGTTATAATCACTGGAATTCCCATCCTCCTCATTTTACTCGAGGGGTGGTGGCACTATAGATGCTTGGAGGAGCCTTTTTCCATAGTAGTTTTTTAGTGTTTTTCTTTTTTTTCATTCTTTATTTTTTTCAAATGTTTGTTTTGTTGGCGTTGTATGTTATGCCGAATATCCAGGATGCCACAGTTGGCGCCTGATGTCTTATGATGCCCTTTAGACTGCTCAGATGACTGATTGGACAGATGCTTAAAATAAACTGTAAACGCTTCCTAACGCTGATGGAAAATGTTTTTATAGAATGTATTAGAGCTCTTGAAATAAAGAGATTTCCAAGATACCAGCTATGGGTGACTTATCACTAAAATATGTCCAGTAGAGAAGCACTGGCATGTAGGAATCATAAAAAAAAATTAAAAAAGTTAAAAATAGAGACATAATATAGCTCTATGATATAAAACAGAATTATTAAGAATTATAAATAATAGAAATAATAATTTATAATATAGAACATCTTTGTAGAAAAGTACATAAGAACTGAAAAGAACTTGAAACTATTCACCTAAAGATAGCTAGTTAACAATGGGTGATAAGATTGACTTAAGAATAGCTAGTGAACTATGAAGAGAAAATCTGCTCTTGTAATAACTCAGAAGTACTTAGGTAGATCAGACTTAGGTAATGTTAAGGAGGGCAGAGAGGGCAAGTAATTTGGTGGGAAATATTTTTACCTGATCTGTACAACTACCTAGTAGAAATCTTGATGAAATGAGCCAGGTAGAGTAGTCTAAGGGGCCCAGGTATGGCATTGCACAGTTGTAATTGATATATTAAGACACTTAATTATATTTACAAGTTGGATGATTTAAGCAGTATCACAGATATGAGAGGATTTTGCACATGACTCGATTATGAGCCATGGGTCTCACACATATGATTCACCCAAGTAATATGATCTATTTAGATTATGATTTATTATGTTTCACGCATGTGATGAACTTAGCTCACATGGCTTCTTATAAGGACTATGATTAGTTCAGGTATATTGCGTAGTTGACTCATATGAGTCAGCTGAGGATCTCGCATAACTCACCCTTATGAGTCAGAGGATATGGTGATGCAAAGGTATGAGTTACACAGGGTTAGGGTTGGGTAAGATGTCTGTATAAATAGCAAGGTTCAAGGACCTCAATTAAATCAAGGCCTCGCCCCCTTCCTTTGCCATAGGCTAGCATCCTCCCTCCTTACACCAATACTCCTCTTCGGTGCAGATTTGTTCACACCCTCAGCCACCATGACCGACCGACTCTCCGTCTTTTGGAGACAAGTCCAGCGGTGGGTCACCAACTGTTTCTCCGAAACCCCTACTGGTATTCTCCCCTGCGAGTCTCTCCTTTCACTGGTCCAATGCCTTGTCGAACACCATCAGCGCCTGGCGGCACTTAGGTTGGTATGCCTCCCCCCAGAAAGGAATCCAGCAACTGCACGGTTGCACTCCTCCTTCCCCACGACTTCCTGTTACCGCTCCCCGGAGGACCACCGTGACTTGACGGTTAGTCTTACCCTGGGCTACAGACCCCTAAATTGGAAAACCCCCGAACCATCCCCTCCAGTAAGGAGGCATCTCCCGCTTGATGCTATAGCCCACAGAGTGGTCAAGCTAGTCGGCAATCTCTCTCGTGTCCTACCAGCATCACCCGCCCTCCTCCTTGTTCTCCTGCCCCCCGCAGCTCCTGGGGACCCCCCCTTCCCGGCCCTCAAAAGAGGCTGCTGACAGTTCCTACTAAATGTCTAGGTAAAGCAGTACCCACCACCACCACGATACGCATACTCACCCACGCTGTCACCCCACTCCTTCATGCGGCTGGGGAAATTCGTGGCGGGCCACATCCACCAAATGAGGTCAGGAAAGAGTTACCTGGCCGCCCACTGCTCTTGGAGAGACCCAGACGCCCTGGACACCTGCCCCTACTGCGAGGATGGGCCTGAATCTTTCCACCACGCCATTCTCAACTGCCCCTCACGCACCAGAGCCAGAGACGCCCACCTCCCGGGGGTTGAGAGCCTGGGTGAAGGGGAGCCCATCTGGACGTCACCGGTGCCGCTTCATGGCCTGGCCGCATACATCTCTTCCACTTCAACCGGCTTCCCCGCGGACATGCCTGCATTCAGAGATCCCCCCTCTGGGGCCCGAATCATCGTGCGGCCCCTTTCCTCCCTCGGCTCGTCCTCCTTGACCTAAGCCAGGAGTGTTGGCACACTTGTTTGTTTTCCTTGTCTGTAGGATTTTGCTTCAAGTTTAGTTTGAATGTTTCCCTTTATAGTAAGCTATTATGCGTTTTACGATATGGGTTGTTCGCGCTTTTTGGAGATACTGGTTTGGTTTTTTTTGTTGTGTTTGTTTGGGATTAAGGTTTTGGTTACGCCATAGCTAATGCTGCATGCGAGTTCTTGTACCTAAACAATGAATACATGATTATAAAAAAAAAAAAACAAAAAAAAAAAAAAGGACCTCAATTAAATCATGCTCCGCGCCCTCTTCTTTCCCCACCCTACATTTTACTTCTGCTCTCAACACCATCTGCATCTGGTGAACAAACCCCTCGAATCTAAGAATCCTCCAAGCCTACACTCAGGGACTATCTCTCCTTGCTAGGCAATGGACCCCTCCACTTACTCACGTTCCAGCACACCTGTCTCCAACCAAGGTACTGCCTCCCACGCTCCCGCACGGCCGTCGTCGGCTGCCCCAATCCTCCCCATTCACGAGAACCTAGCTAGGCTGATCGCCTCTGCGAGAGCCCTGCTAGACTGGCCCCCCCCGAAATCCTACCCCCCATCTCCCACCAGGAGGTGCTTGAACTCTCTATCGGAGAATGCTACCTGCTTCCCCTCGTCTCCTCTCTTGTGCACAGCATGTCCGCCCTCTCCCAGACCGTCGATGAGCTCAATACGAGGATTTACGACCTATCATCCCAAATTGCCAACTGTCACGAATGTTGCTTAGCGAGGAAAGGGTTTTTCACATGACACATGGTTATGAGTCACAGGTATGTTATTGTTTCACACATATGACCTATTCGGGTTATATGATTAGTTATGTGTGGGATTTGTGATGCTTTCGCACATGGCT